GGGAAGTATCAGACTGCTCCCCTTGTGTCTCATGCCATCTCTTATTTTTCAGAAATGTGAGTTTCACTGCTGCCCAGCAGTCCATTGCTTGGCTAAGGGCAAAGTATGAAGAGATCTAGACTCAGAGGGAGTGTAGTCAAATTTACGTTTCTGGTCCCTGATGGCTAGACATTGAAATAGGTTCCAGTTTTTCAGCATGACTGATAATTCTGGAGTGAATTCTGGTTACTTCGTGACCATCTGTGACCATTCCCTTCAGAAGTGCAGTTGTTGAATTGGTGTATGAACATTTTCAGGACTCTTGCTATTCATTGTCCGGTTGCTTTCCAGAAAGGTTATACCTACTTATCCTTTCCTAGTTGCTGGAAATGGGGACAGGGTTAGCATCCATCTGTAAAAGTCTGAGAAGCTTGAAGAAGACTGTTCCCTTCTCTTTTATTCTGTAGACATGCAAAATTTAAAAAAAACACACAGTCACACACACTAAGTACATAAACAGCCATTTCTTTTGAGGGTCAGATTGGCTTTTCACAATTCCCTGTGCTTTTTCTAAATAATTAAATGTCACTTGAGAGTTATCTGAGTACTTTAATTCAGTATTCTAGATATTTTGTGGGATAGTTAGGGAAGAAGGGATTTTGAATTGGCATCTGTCCTGCTAATTTTCAAAGAACTCTTCAAGGTGAGATTTAAAAATTATAGCAACCTCCTGTGATTATGAAACTTTGTTTCTACAAGAATTTTTTTATGTGAGTTTTCATCAGTCTTAATTTGGACTCTATGGAAATTGAATTATGTCATATGAGTATTGAAGCCAATTTTGATGCTTTTGTTTTTATATTTGTATGGGGAAGAGTATACACATTGTAGACCAGAAGTGATTTATCTTTTTGTCCTCCACAAATATTATCCTTTGGTCAATGCATTATTGGGTTTTGGAACTGAGACGAACTTTTAACTCATTAAAACCCCCAAGTCCCCGGCAATAAAGTCATTTAAGTGGCTTCACCAACAGATTTATTTCAAAATGATTCCATTTGGAGGAAGGAAAGAACAAGTAATGCATTATATACAAAGATCTATTCAATAATTCATGAAACCTGCCACCAGTGACCATTTTAGATTCAGTTCATGGCATTATAGCTGAAAATGACTCTGTCTTTTTTTTTTATTCTTATGTTAATCCCCATACATTACATCATTAGTTTTAGATGAAGTGTTCCATGATTCATTGTTTGTGCACAACACCCAGTGCTCCATGCAGAATGTGCCCTCCTCAATACCCACCACCAGGCTAACCCATCCTCCCACCCCCCTCCCCTCTAGAACCCTCAGTTTGTTTTTCAGAGTCTATTGTCTCTCATGGTTCATCTACCCCTCCGATTTCCCCCGCTTCATTCTTCCCCTCCCGCTACCACCTTCTTCTTCCTCTTTTTTTTTCTTAACATGTATTGCATTATTTGTTTCAGAGGTACAGATCTGAGATTCAACAGTCTTGCACAATTCACAGCGCTTACCAGAGCACACACCCTCCCCAGTGTCCATCACCCAGTCACCCCATCCCTCCCGCCCCACCCCCCACTCCAACAACACTCAGTTTGTTTCCTGCGATAAAGAATTCCTCATATCAGTGAGAGAAAATGACTCTGTCTTAAGAAGATATCCACAATTTGCTCCTTTCTGTGCTTGAGTCCACAAGTATCTTGATTTTTGAGATATAAGTTTTGTACCTATATGGTATGTTTAAGTGGACCTTTCTTATATGGAAGCTATTTTGAAAAAAATGGGCATTTTATGTAATTGGGCTAAAGGACACTTTATATGCATTCCTTAGCCTTAGCAAAGCAGGAATGTTTCAAAAATACATTGCTTTTTCCTCCCTTTGGGCAAGAATTCTGATTTTATTTTCTACATGTGGAGTGGATTGCCAAAGGATGGATGAAAAATAGATTTATTGATGCCTAACAATTACAACAAACACACACAGTGTTGGGCAGTGAATTTGAAAGGCACGCATGGTAAATAGCCCGCTGTCCTCCAGTGAGTCCTGGTGAGTGGCCAAGGGCCGTCAGCTGGGAACTCCTGGGTTCATCCTGAGCTCCATCCAACCCATTCCCTTTTATGAAAACCACAGAGGCACTGGGGCAATTTCTGTTCAAGGTGGAGGCTTGCACAAGGGCTGGGAGTTGAGAAAGAGCCTGCTTCCTTCCACACTCTTGAGAGTGCCGCACTAGCCTTCTCAGGAACTGATGTGCTTCACATTTCCAAATGGGATCATTTCAGTTTGGCAGGTCTTTATTCAGCGATAAGTATTATGTGGGAAATAAAGATGAATGAATGATGGTTCTGTTGTTCGCTGGAAAAGCTTCAGGATCCATCCTTCCTTCCCTTCCTGCTCCTTATCCTACTCTCCAATAAAAATGGCTGCTTTTTCTTTTTTAACTTAAAAACCTATTTTATTTAAAAAAAAAACATTGTAAACATTTATGCTATGTAAAATGCTATGCAGACTCTAATGGAAGAGTCCGCTGTGCAGATTCTTATAAGAAAAATGTACAAATCACTAGAAATCCCACTGTGAACATTTTGAGAAACATTGTTATAGCTGTATACATAGACACACCCACTCACATTTTTCCCTAAATTACAGCGTGCTTCATAGGCTGCTTTGAGACTTTTTTTAATTCCTTCAACAGTATGTAAGCTTTTCCTGTAAATGAAAATCCCCACCACCATTTTAATTATTGCAGAATATTCCATTATACACAGATACCATTAATGGATTCTCTATGATGAACCATTAGGTTGTTTTAAAATATTTGCTCCCATGTATAACATAGGGATGAATAGCTTGGTGTGTGTGATGATCACTCCAATATACGTTCCTGTAAGTGGAATTGCTGGGTCAAACAATATGCACATTTTAACTTTTGATATATATTATCAATAGTGGCTTTTAAAGAAAGTCTCTTTTTTAAAAAAATAAAAATTATATATTTAAGGTGTGCAACATGATGGTTTGATGTACATAGATATAGTGAAATTATTACTACAGTCAAACTAGTTAACATATCTTCTCACATAGTTACCTTTTCCCTTTTGTAAATGATGAGAGCACCTGAAATCTACTCTTTTGGCAAATTTCCAGATTGAATACAATATCATTAACCATTCTATTTCTAGAACTTATTCATCCCCTGTAACTGCAACTTTGTACCCTTTCACCAGTACATCTCCCCAACTCCCTTCCCCGCTCCTGGTAACTACCCTTCTACTTTCTGCTTCTAAGTATTTGACTTTTTAAGATTCCATATTTAAGTGAGATCATGCAGTTTTTTTCTTTCTACATCTGGCTTATTTCACTTGGCATAATGTGTTTTAGATTCATCCATGTTGTTGCAAATGGCAGGATTTCCTTTTTAAATGCTGGATAATATTCCATTGTGTATATACACACACCAAATTTTCTTCATTGATTGATTGATTCATTCATTCATCAGTAGGCACTTAGGTTGTTTCCATGTCTTGTGCATTGTGAATAAGGCTGCGATGAACATGGAAGTGCAGATATCTCTTTGAGGTATTTGATTTCATTTCTTTTAGGTATATACCCAAAAGGGGAATTGCTGGATCATATAGTTATGCGTTTTTTTGTGGACCCTTCGTACTCTTTTCTACAGTGGCTGCACCAATTTATATTCCCAACGGAGCATCGGGGTTCCCTTTTTCCCACATCCTCACCAATATTAGTTATCTTTTGCCTTTTTGATAACAGCCATCCTAACGTGTGATATCTCATTGTGATTCTGATTTGCATTTCTCTGAAAATTAGTGATGTTGAGCATCTTTTTATAAGAAGGGCTTTTTAAAAGATTTTATTTATTTATTTGAGAGAGACAGAGAGCTTGAGAAAGAGAGAGAGAGAAAGAGAGAGAGAGAACACACACAAGCAGCGGGAAGGGGCAGAGGGAAAGGGAGAAGCAGACTCTCCGCTGAGCAGGGATCCTGACGAGGGGCTGGAACCCAGGACCGCGGGATCATGACCTGAGCAGAAGGCAGATGCTTAACCGACTGAGCCACCCAGGTGCCCCAAGAAGGTCTTAAAATACATTCCCATGTAACATGTGAGAGTGGCCCCCTGCCCAAATCCAAACCAACAATGTATATAATAAATCTTTTTGATATTTAATAAATTAATACATGCCTCTTCATTGCTTTTATTTTCATTTCTTTTACTGTAATTGAATATTTAAAAATATTTATTGGCAATTTATGTCTCTTCCGCAGAGATTTATCTATGTATAACCTTTGTCTATTTTTCTGTTGAGCTGTCTCTTCCTTCTCAGCTTTCAAAACCTTTCCACGATATAGTCTTCAAATATATCCAAAGATCTGTTCTTCAAAATATACAAGGAATCTCTATGTATCCTCAACATAATTATCTATCCTGTTTTGGGATAAAGGATTCTAATGACCAATGAGTCTTGCTTTGCTCACATTTTGGAATGGAGCTTGTCTGTGTCACCGTGTGCCTTTGAGGGACAGCAGGTGTGCAGGCTAAGGGCGGGATGCGGAGGTGCCCTTGCTCAGTGGCCCTCATTAAGGACTCAGCGAGGGTCTTGTGATCTGTGTCAGTCTCCTTTTGTCCTCCCCTTGGCAAGCATCTTTTTCTTACCATTGAATAATTCTAATGAGATTGCCCTGGGTCAGTCGTATTAGATAAGTAATGAGCAGTAGAGAAAAGAAAATTCATAGAAGAGGAACATTTAAAATAAAATTTATTTTTGACCTTTGCCTAAAAGTGAATTTCATGGTCTGTCAGCCACAAGCACATGTGCGGTCGAGGAGGAGAATTTATTGCCTGATAGGGTTCCTGGGAAAATTCTAGGGGGAATTCAGGGATCCTATAGGGATAATGTAGGAGGAAAATTTTGTATTTAATTTGGAGTTGCATAAAATGTGTTGACTTTGGCTTAAAACTATGCATTGTTCTTAAACAGTTTCATTCACTGGCTCCCATGTACTATCGTGGATCTGCTGCAGCTGTCATAGTATATGATATTACCAAACAGGTAAGAAAATAAAAGCCCTTTAAAGTTTCAATGCCCTTTATGTTGATTCTCTTAGAAAGACCAAAGCAGAGACTTGACTACTTGAGTCTTGCCAGTAGCCTGGAATGAGATTTCATAGCATGGTAGCCAGGGATAATCAACACCATATATTGAGTTTATTCACCTATATGCAGTGAAGAATTTCAAATTTATCGGCCAAATTAAATAAACAACAATGATCATTTATTTTTAAAATTGACTGTTAGTAGAGGCAAGGCCATGCCTGCCAGTACCGCTCTCCAGAATGTCAGGTTTTCAGGAAGAGGAAAATTATTTTTAAGTCCTGCATGTTTTGTAATTATGGAATGCTTATTTTCTATTAGTGTTTCAATCACACTACTTAAAATGTCAGGGATAATGTTTATGTATGTGTAGTGTATTTGCATATATATAGTATACCATATTTTTAGTTATCATGTTGAGGATCTAGGCTATTCATCAAGGAACTGCAATGGTTTGCTGGTTGTTTTTTTCCACTCCTGGAGTGCTGACTCAGTGCACAGGACTGCTGGTTCAATGATCCATCACTCTTACCATCCATGAATTCCCGAACACTTCTACCTAAATGTGGTGTCTACCTTGACTGGTTTGCTGGAGGAGGGTTGTGAGTGAAGGGCAGAAAGGAAAACAGGACAAGAGGAAAAGAGAGAGGGGGAGGAGGAGGGAGAGACAGGGAGGGAGAGAGAGAGAGAAAGAAAGAAAGAGTATGTATGTATGTATTCTTTCTCTTTCTTTCCTGAAATAAGCATGAACATGTCTAGTTCTATGACTTAAGTCTTTTTCATGTTGAGTTAGGCTATCATTTTAAATTAATGTTATTTATAGAAGAAAATTGCCAGTATGCTTTTCTTAACTTTGTCAAGTTTCAGTTTTAGAAAAGGAAACTTTTACAGGCCATTTAAGTGTAACTTAGCTAATATTAAGTTTTGTGCCAAGATGGGGGTAGGATGTTAATGTATGTGAGTTTCCTAACCTCTGTTAAATTGGGTTGGGTTTATATTTCTACTTGGTTGAAATACTGTGTTGATGGGTCTTTCCAATGATTGATTGATTTACATTTTGGGTTTAGGATTCATTCCATACCCTGAAGAAATGGGTGAAAGAACTGAAGGAGCATGGTCCAGAAAACATTGTAATGGCTATTGCTGGAAACAAGTGTGATCTCTCAGATATTAGGTAAGATGCATTAAAAAATTTTTTGGTGAAGTGAATGTCCTCCATCTCTGAAGGTCTACATGTACAAAGCTGTCATGCCTGTGTTGTTAAGTCTGTTCTCAGTATAATGATTTAATCGACGGGCATTGATTTGTGGTGGTCTAGGTAGTATGTATTCAACCAGAGTAGAATTAAGGGAAAATAATAGGAAGATGCCAATTGGATGGATCACCTAGGAGTGGGTATTAAAACCAAATCTCCCCTACGGAGCACAGTTACATCCCTGACTCTAGAGGTCTTTGGGTTAAATGCTTTTATTATTTTTGTTGTTACCTTTTTTGTTACTTATTGACATTATTACAACTATGGCCATTTTAATAACACTTTCATATGGTAAGGAAAGTTAGAATTTATAACATTTCCCATAGCATCTGTGTTTTAGTTCTAACTTTAACTTAAGGGTGTAGTCGGGTCTATATAATCTCACTATTTTGTTCTAGGATCTGAAGGTGACATATCATATAGAAACACTTTGGTTTCCCTCAGAGACACTGGATTGTTGACCTTTCTTTACCTGGAACAAGGTTTGCAGGGACCCAGTCCACAGGGACTAGAGATTTAATGAAGCTTTATGCAGCCTGATAAGCTAGCTATTTTTACTAAATAAAAGCAATGAAAAAGGAATAGTGAATTTGCATCATCTCCATCCCCCTGGTTAAGTCTCTGCAATTCCAGTCGTTGGTCTTCATAAAGACAACGACATCATGCCTCAGGTTTTGCTCATCCAAGTACGATTAAGCTAAAGTTTGATAAACAATGGAAATAGATCTTGCAAAAGCTCTTAACATGGCCTTTGACAAATTGCTCTGTTTCTTTGGGATTTCAAAAGCTTTGTATCACATTGCATCGGGTTGGTTTATAATAACAGCCATAAACACCACTTAATCATTTGTTTTTCTGGGGGCTGGACAAATCTTTAAACTCCCCAGACTTAGTTCAGATCTCTTCGTTCTTTACTGTAATCCTGAAACAGCTTACTTGTCTAGAATTGCAAAAGAATCACTTTAACTTTTGTCATCAGAAGGGGTGGGGTGGGAGGGTAGAAACAGTCTTTGCTGAGGGCATGCGCGGTCATCTGACACCACTGAATTGTAGTAAAGGTGTGACTTCAAAGGTACTAAGCCTTCTGTATTGTGGCAGAGCTGATGGGCTAGAATTTAAGCAGACAGTGATATAAAGTTGACTGGAATTAGTTAAGATTCTTGGTGACGTGGAACTGAATCCCACTTAAAGTATTTTCGGGAAAGGGGCACCTGGGTGGCTCAGTCGTTGGGCATCTGCCTTCGGCTTGGGTCATGGTCCCAGGGACCTGGGATCGAGCCCCTCATCGGGCTCCCTGCTCAGCGGGAAGCCTGCTTCTCCCTCTCCCACTCCCCCTGCTTGTGTTCCCTCTCTCGCTGTCCCTGTCAAATAAATAAATTAAAAAAAAAAATTATTTTCGGGAAAAAGGGAACTTAATTGGAAGGTACTGATATCCACATGGTAAAAAAGCAGGATTGCCTGACTGGCATTTGATATGTTCCATTTTTAGTCTCTGGCACTCTCTCTGTTTCTAGTCTAAATTGCCATGGAAGGATTTCCCCATATCATGACAAGACGTTTGTGGCCAAGAGAGGGAATTTGGGTGGTGGCACAAGATGACTTTTCCCACCATCACCATGATGCGAGTAGGAAGGTAGGTAGACTTGAAGGTGGAGAAGCTCCTAGAAAAGCGCAGGTTGGCCAGACAAAATATATCTGTGACATGTTGGCTTGGCCACAGACACCTGAAGATAGACGTACCATGTCTCAGGGTGGAATTCGCCTTCCATGCACTGGTATAGTATTTGCTGGGCCTATATGTAGTTTTCAAAATGCCCCAGCTAACACCATCCATCCATCCATCCATCCATCCATCCATCCATCCATCCATCCATCCACCCATCTCCCTTTCAACCATAAATTCATACACAGCCCCTCCATCCCCAGTGGGAGACAGTCCAGGTGCTACATCTAGTGGCCACATCATGGGGCCACTGTCCCACTAATTCATGTTTCTGGGTAGTACCCTTTCTTCTCTAGTTTGGCCTCAGTGAGGTCTGCATGTGACTTCTCAAGATCCTGCAGTTGTGGTTTAAAGTGTGGAGTATATATCTTTAGTTACACACAAAGTTGTATTAGATGCTACTTGTTATTGAATCGTGCAGCAAAGAAATGACTCCCTTTGCAATTCTCTTTTCAACCTCAGTGAAGAAGACCAATTCAATTAAGTCAGAGAGAAAGACCAGTTGGATGTTAGTAAATTTTTAATTTTTAAATATTTATTAATAGATAATTTAAAATTTTAATTTATTTAGAAATATATTTCACTAAACTAATTTAGAAACCATAAAATCCACCTGTTTTAAGTGTACAGGTCAATAAATTTTTGTACAATTATAAGGTTGTACAGTCATCATCACATCTAATTTTAGAACATATCCATCACAGTACGAAGACCATGCCAATTTACAGTCACTCCCAATGTCCAACTGCTTCCAGCCCCTGGCAACCACTAATGTACCTTCTTGTCTTTATAAATTTGCTTTTTCTGGACGTTTTGTATAAATCAAATCATGCACTTATGTGCTCTTTTGTGACTGGCTTCTTTCACTGAGCATAATGTTTTTGAAATTCCTCTGTGTTGTAGCGTGCACTAGTACTTCATTCATTTTTAGGGCAGAATAATATTTCATTGTATAGATATACCACATTTTATTTTCTCATTCACTAGTTGAATGAAACTTGAAATTTGAGTTGTTTCCATTTTTTGGCCACTTTAAAAACTGCTGCTATAAACAATAATGGACAAATTTTGTGTGGACATATGTTTTCGTTTCTCTTGGGTATATTATGAGGAGTGAAATCTCTGGGTCATGTGGAAACTTTGTGTTTAACAATTTGAAGAACTGCCCAACTGTTTTCAACAGTGGCTGCACCATTTTATGTCCCTACCGGCAATGTATGAAGTTCCAATTTCTCTACATTCTCAACCAACACTGTTATTATCTGTCTTTTGCATTATTGCCATCCTAGTGGGCGTGAAGGTGTGTCAGTGTGATTTTGGTTTGTATTTTTCTAATGACTAATGATGTTAAACATCTTCTCATATGCTTATTGACCATTTGTATATCTTTTGTGGAGACATGTCTCTTCAAATCCTCTGCCCAATTTTTAATTGAGTTATTTGTCTTTTTATTATTGAGTTGTAAGAGTTCTTTATGTATTCTAAATACAAGTCCCTTATCAGATATATGATTTGCAAATATTTTCTTCCTTTTCATGAGTTCTCTTTATAATCTTTATTGTGTCTCTTGAAGTGCAAAAGTGTAATGTCCAATTTGTGATTTTTCCCTTTTTATCTGTTATGCTCAAGTGATTGGCTAATTAAAATCACAGAGATTTACTCATATGCTTTCTAAGAGTTTCATAATTTTAGAGCTTACATTTATATCTGTCACCCATTTAGAGTTAATTATTGTGTGTGTTATGAGGTATGGGTCCAAATTAATCTTTGTGTGGATATCTAATTCCCAGCACTATTTGTTGAAAAGACAACATTTTTCCCATTGAATTTGTTTTGGCACTTTTGACAAAAATTAGTTGACCATAAATGTAAGTCTTATTTTGGGATCTTAATTCTATTCAGTTGATCTATACATCCTTATGCTAATGCAAAATGATTTTGATTGCTGTAGTTTTGTAAGTTTGAAATTGGGAATTATAAGGCCTCCAATTTAGTTTTCCTTTTCAAGATTGTTTGACTGTTTGACTATTCTGAGCCTTTTGCATTTCCATGTGAACTTTAAGATCCTCTTCTCAATTTCTGCCCCCAAAAAAGCAACTGGGATTTTAATAGAGAATGTGTTGAATCTTTAGAACAATGTGGGGATTATTGGCATCTTAACAATATGGTTTTCTGATCCATGAATATGAGATGCCTTTCCATTTTATTTAGGTCTTCTTTAGTTTCTTTTGCCCATGTCTTATAGTTGTCAGTGTACAAATTTTGCATTTCTTTTCCTATACTTGTTCCTAAGTGTTTGATTTTTCTCGATGCTATTGTGAATGGGATTGTTTTGTTAATTTCGTTTATGGTATGTTCTTTTTTAGCGTATACAAGATTATGTTGTCTGTGAAAACAGTTTTACTTCTTCCTTTCCAATCTGGGTGCCTTTTTTCTTTTTCTTGTCTAATTACCTTGTCTAGAACCTCCAGTACAATTTGAATAGAAATGGTGAGAGTGGACATTATTGTCTTCTTCCTGATCTTAGGGGCAAAGCATTTAGTCATTCTTATTATGATGTTGGCAGTTCGTGTTATGTAGATGCTCTTTATCAGTGTGGGGAAGTTGCCTTTCATTCCTAGTTTGTTGGTTTTTGTTTTTTTTTTTAATCATGAATGAATGTTGAATTTTGTCAAAAGCTTTTCCTGCATCTTCTGAGATGATCATGTGGTTTTTGTCCTTTATTCTGTTAATATAGTGTATTACATTAATTGATTTTCTAATGTTAAACCACCTGCACTCCTGGGACAAATCCCACTTGGCCATGATGCATAATCCTTTTAATATGCTTCTGGGTTCTGTTTGCTCATATTTTGTTGAGGATTTGTATCTCTGTATTCATGAAGATATTGGTCTGTAGTTTTTATTTTTTTGTGATGTCTTTGTTTGATGTTGGTATATCAAGGCAGTAGATTTTGTAGAATGAATTGAAAAGTGTTCCCTTCTTTTCTATTGCCCAGAAGAGTTTGTGAAAGATTGATGTTAACTCTTCTTTAAGTGTTTGATGAAATCACTGGTGAAGCCATCTGGACCCAGGCTTTTCTTTGTGGATTTTATATATTAATCCAATTTCTTTACTTGCTATGGGTATATTCAACTTTTCTATTATTTCTTTAGTTAGAATAATTTATGCATTTTTAGGAACTTATTCATTTCT